AGGGACTGAGCTTGCGGTCCTTGGCCATCGGTGAAGAGTGGGTGTAGATGGTGAGGGTTCATCCACACGTGGCAATTGCGATGACTGCACCGATGCTTGAGGCAACCGCCGGGATCGAGCTGCAGCTTCGACAAGGTGCCTTTTGGCAGGTGGGGCAGGTCATGCCCTCCCATTTCGGGATTAACTTGTCAGCGATGAGGATGTTGATGATCTCCTCGTCGGAGGCTCGGAGGAGCTGATGAAGTGTTCTTTTCCACTTGATTTGGTCCTTGTGTTGTCCACGAGGACCCACAGTGCACTTCTCACGAACATACTTGACATCCTTCCAAGTGGTGGATTTCTTGGCAAGTGGTGGATTTCTTGGCGGCAGGTCGCTTCTGGACTGATCTCAACTTGCCCTGCTTCGGCACAACGTTGTTGATGATGCTCTTGCTCATAGCTGTCCACTGAGAGGGGACTGTGGCTAAGGCTTGCTGTGTGCCAGAATGCTGCGCTTAGCATACTATCACACAGCTAGCATCGGTCACAAATAAGTTACAACACAGGCTGTGTGCATGCACTGCAACGGGCCGCTTTTCTTGCCTGTACCTGCGTGCGATGTGTGATTTATAGTGCCCGAGGCTGGGGAAGGACCTCAGTTGTGCATGTGCTGAGCGGCCTCCTCGTCTGCCGTCATGCCCGCGTCAGCTGCCACGTTGATGCCTTGGTTCGTCTCTGCCCCCGGGAGCGGCTCAATGGGTGGCGTCTTGACACGCATTCGCTTGGCGGGAGAAGGGTAGATGAATGTCCCAGACGATTTGGGCGGGGCCCATTGCCAATGGCCAGGAAGACGGGAGGCAGGCCCATCGACGCACGCTGAGCGTTGGGATCTTCATCTGATGCATCTTCAGGAGATGCCGGGAGATGCCGTGTAGGGCGAAGCCAAGTCTGCACATGTGTGTTGCAATGCGACACATACGCATCTCGTGAGGAGAAGCTGGACATGGTCTCGACGCTCGCCTTGATCATCTCCTTTGCCTGGTACTCAGGGGCATACACGAGGACGCCTGACTTGAACATATTGTAGATTGGTTTGCATTTTTCTTCAAGCAAGTCAAGCAAGTCTTGGTGCAAGTTATTGTTCACAATTCTATGGATGATAATAAAGTCCGGGTTCTCACTGGGAAAACGCAAGTACAAGGCAGACTCAGTGAAGACCAGGACGGTACTGCGTTTGAGAATTGCGAACTTGTCCTTGAGATGAGCATCGCCGAAGAGAGGATGGACCAACTTCATGAAAGAGTCTGTGGACAATGTCGTGTCACCTGGTTTGGTGTCCTTCGGGTCCTCGCCTGTGTCATTGGAGGCATAGGCTCTCATCTGATTGCGGAGAAGTCGAGCATCGCAATACCGGCCTTCGACAGTCCCATCCTCATCGACCGTCACACTCGAAAAAGATAGCCTCTTGGATTTGAGGTGCACGTTGCCTGAAATTGTCTAGGGACTTCGCCCGACGCCAACCCGATAGCACACCCTGCAGCCCAAGTCGACCCATGTGAAAACGCCCGATTGCCATGTCCATGGCAATGACAGTAGGTGTCTTGCCTACCCCAGGATTGCCTGCGATCACGACCGCGGTAGCAAGTAGCAGTGGGTAGAGAAGTAGAGATGGGGTAGAATGTGCTTGACCAAGTCCTCGTTCAAGTTGTAGGTGTTCAAGGGAAACTCGGTCGTACTCTGGGCCCCGCTCACGCCACGTGACTTATTCTGTGCCATGCCCGAGTTTTCACTTCAGGCCACCCAGCGATGGGTGATCCTGACTCAGGTCGAATGTGGGTAAGGATCCGAAATGTTTGCTCGTTGCGGGCGTCGCATTCAGGTGCATGCAGATTGATGAACTTGATGCCTTCTGATAGGTCGTCGCTCGCAGGGGACCAAGTTGTTGACGTGGACCGAGTCAGGTTGCCTGACGGCTTGTCTTGCAACGAATGCCGATGTACATGATGCCCGCGTACTTTACCCAAAGCCCACTGCAGAGCTTTATGAGGACCATTGCGGAAGACAGGCATGAGAGGTGTTCCGCTGCAAAAGGACATGGCAGCCTTTGACGGAACTGTTTTCTCCAGGTAGAGAATCTTCAGAACATTCATGCATCCGTCGCCTGTGTTCTCAATGATGATGTCTACTTTGCTCGCTGCTGGTGGCATGATGGAGAAACGAATGGGTGGAGGTAGTTCGGCAAGTTTGCCTTCGACAACAAGTTTGCCAAGGGTGTTGGCACTGCCACACTCCACAATGCCCACATGGGAGTCCATGATCACGGAGGCGGACTTCACGGCCTTGCAATCGAGGGGCCGGCACACTCCCGCCAAGAAGTCCGAGATGGTCACACGATCGCCCGAATCGTTGGTGGAGATGTCAGGATGAGGAAGGACCTTAACCTGCCATCTCCGATCGGACACCTGGTTCATGCCCTCATCAAGCAACCGACCCGACATTGGCTGGAAGTATATGGGACAGGAATGATGATTTGCGTGCTAAGACAAAGACTTCTGATAACAGGGCAGACGTGGCATTGGTGACCATGTGATGCACACTGGCGCACTGCAACTGACACGCATGGCGTATGGTATGTATACCATGTGTATGGGACACATAAGTCTAGTAACCGAGAACAACCCGCATCGACGCGTGAGCTCTCACACTTCGCTCACACTTTTGTTCTCGCTGCTGTAGGTCTCTCGAGCAGGTGTAAGGCTAAGTGCCGCGGCCTCGCCACAAAATTTAAGCCTTGGCATGTTGATGCACCATATGCGGATTCCCATTTGGCCTTGTACTGCACAATGCGACCCAACAACTGCTGGGCCAGCTTACTGCTGAGTGGTAGGTGTCCGCCCAATCCGACTCCCACTGAAGGACCTCTTGGTACGTAGGCAACGG